TCCTCCTCCTCTTCCTCCTCCTCCTCTCACCCTCCTCCTCCTCTCTGCAACTTCTCCTCCCTTCTAGCACTGATGATGTTACCTAGTTAGGTAAAGAAACGTCTGCAAGAAAACAAGCAAGCTCAGAGAGCGCTAAGGACCCCCTCATTTATGCATTATGCTGGGGGTGGCTGATGGCTAGAGAGAAGATCTCCACGTGTCTTGTCTTCTTGGTTTTTAGTCTTTTATTTCATCTTTTTTTAATTGTAATTGTTCTGTATTCTTTATCTTTTTTATCATTTTGTAAGCCACCCAGAGTCGCTGCAACAGGGAAATGGGTGGCATATACATTTAATAAATGCCTACATTATATACCAAATTAAATGTCCATGGTTTTATGTTATCTATTGCCAACATCAGCATCTGATGCCTGTTGGGCAGCTGGCAGGGCTGAATGTCTATTGCTGATGCCTACTCTGGAGAACCCTTCAAAGAAATGTAGCCTTGTTTGTGATTGCTGTACCAACTCAAGAAATTAAAAAAAAAAGGGATGGAAAACTCAGTTAAATTGCTCAGAGGTGATGGCGGTCCATCCCCAAATATCACTGAGTATTCCAGTCTGTTCTTAACTCATAGATTCAGTCTATACTTACTCTTTTGTTTAAACTGAATGGCTGTGTGCCGAGTATATGAGAAGTCCAAACAATGAATACATTAAGAAAATGACCAATGCTTGTAGAGTTATATCTGTGATCTATCTTATAGATCACAGCCATCCATTCATAGTCGTTTCAGCTAAATACATAGTGCTTTTCTGCAGGCTGATTACAGAATTATATCATGATTTTTGCAATATTACATTTTGCCAAATTAAATTTGGTTTACTTACAATATAATACACCATATTACAATATAATAGCCATTATCTATTAAAATATGAATCATGTTTTCCTTGTTACACCCTATAGCTACAAACAACGTTATTAGGAGAGAATTTTTTTAAACAATGAAATTACCTTAAACGTTTGCTACATTTTTCTTTCCAGTAGTAAAACCATGTTTAAAATAGATAACTCCTCTACATTTAGCTCAGAATATAAAGCTTCCAGATAACATGTTTAAATGAAACACAGGGGTTTTTTTTTACTTCTTAATATAAGTGATGGATGCAATTCCAATTGCTGTTGCCAGATAGTAGATAATTAGAAGAAATTCAAAACTACAAAGTTGTTTGTTCATTCAGCTTTTTAACATTGTCCTTTTGAACATCTGGTAGAGTTTAAAATGGGATTTTCCGATGAATTCTTGTACTTTTGGTTTCGAGATGAATTTAAGATAATAGCATCCTTTTCTTCCCTCCAAAGTTTAGCTCTGCAGAAGACACAGTGAATCTGGTAACTAAGTAGATGTCCTCCTGCAATGGGCAGTCTCTAGTTTTTTGAACTGTACAGAACAATTTTTCCCCAACTGTGGCAACTTGAAGATATGAGGACTTCAATTCCCAGAATTCCCCAATCAGCCATGCTGCGTGGGGGATTCTAGGAGCTGAAGTCCTCATGACTTCAAAGTTATAAAAGTTGAGAAACTCTGGTATAGAACATAGAGCATTCACAGATTTGAACTATTTGTGTTACAGGCTGGCCAACAACGAGAAGCAAGGCATACGGTCACATACGGTGTCTGTATCAGGTAGGATATCTGATTATTATTATTATTATTTAAAAAGAGTTTTACTCGCTTCCTGCCGGCGAACCCTAAAGAGAGGAAAAAGATAAGAGTGAGGTTTTGTGAGAAATAAATGGCGAGCAAATCTAATTGAAAATTCTTCTAACTGAATGTTGGTATTAAAAGCCAGTAACGGTATTGCATGCTGATTGTTTTCACGTGGGTGAATTTCACAACTGAGGTATTGGGAGCTGTCACGTAGGAGAAACAGCTGTTAAAAAAAAAATCCAGCTTTCATGTTGTTATGAAAAAAACATGGCATGTCTGGTTATGTAGGGCTGGTGATCGGCGACAGAAGATGATAGACTGTGAAGTAAGGGTTTAAGGCTTCATTTTCTGCCATTCAGTTGTCTTGTTGCTTTGCGTCACAGGATTTAGGATCGTTTCGACATAAAATGTAACGTATGATGTGAGAAGCTGCCTAGCGTCGGTAAATTTAACGGCTCGAAAAGAAATTAATAGTTGCTGTTGTATACTGTAGTTCGGCAGAGAGTTCGTGTCAGGTACAAGAAGTCAGGAAACAGGATTTATTACTCCAGGTTTATTTCATGCTACCTATCCACAAGAATCTGAACTACTAACAGTCAAGGCAAATTGGCACCAGATAAGAGTCAACGGACTTCAAGGGGGGGGGGCTGGACTTAGAACTCTTAACGGGGTGCAGGGACTCCAGACTGATGATGCATTTGACCCCATCCTCAGGCTTGGCCTGGGTGTCTCCTACATTACAAGATACCGGACCAGGGATAGGCAACCTTGGCTCTTTTATGACTGGTGGACTTCAACTCCCAGAATTCCTGAGCCAGCCATGCTGAGGGGAAAGGGAGAGGTTTCCAAGCTGAGCCATGCTGGCTCAGGAATTCTGGGAATTGAAGTCCACGAGTCATGAAGGGGCCATAGTTCCCTCATGCTGGCTCAGGAATTCTGGGAATTGAAGTCCAAGAGTCATGAAGGGGCCATAGTTCCCTCATGCTGGCTCAGGAATTCTGGGAATTGAAGTCCACGAGTCATAAAAAAGCCAAGGTTGCCTACCCCTGTACTGGACCAATGCTTAGAATCCTAACTTAACAACTAACTAGTAATTACAGGTAATCCTTGACAGGACCAGGATTTGTGTTGCTAAGCAAGGCAGTTGTGAAGTGAGACACAGCCGGTTTTTATGACTTATTTTGCCACGGTTGTTAAGCAAATCACTGCAGTTAAGTAAAACCCGGCTTCCCCCGTTGACTTTAGCTTGTTGGAATCCTTCTGGGAAAGTCATTTGACCCCAGGATGCTGCAAATCCCAAAGGTGCTTTTTTCAAGAGGTAACTGGACTTCCTTGTTTTTCTTTGAGCTTCTCGCCCAAGAAGCTTCTTCAGCTCTGACTGGACGGTGGGGAACGACAGTTGGCCATTTGCCTCCTTTCAGAGCAGGGGTAGGCAACCTTGGCTCTTTTATGACTCGTGGACTTCAACTCCCAGAATTCCTGAGCCAGCCATGCTGAGGGGAAAGGGAGAGGTTTCCAAGCTGAGCCATGCTGGCTCAGGAATTCTGGGAGTTGAAGTCCACGAGTCAAAAAAGAGCCAAGGTTGCCTACCCCTGTTTTAGAGGGTCGTTGAGGCCACTTGGAGGTTTGTCTGGGTCCTCAAGGTCACCTGAGTGGTGCAAATGGGTGTGGAGCCTTCTTGGAACTGCTGAAAGGACTGTGTTGTGGAGCTGTGCTTTCTGCAGGATGTCTTCTGACTTGGGTCCCCTCACTGTTGAACACAGGTGCAGACTGTTAGGGATGGGTCTGGGCTGTTTGCCTCTCAAACTGAAGTCAAATAATAATAATAATAACAACAACAACAACAACTGGAGAGGTTTGGTCACCACGATGTAAAAAAGATGTTGAGACTCTAGAAAGAGGGCAGAGAAGAGCAACAAAGATGATTAGGGGACTGGAGGCTAAAACATATGAGGAACGGTTGCTAGAATTGGGTATGTCTAGTTTAATGAAGAGAAGGATGACGGGGGAACATGATAGCAGTGATCCAGTATCTCAGGGGCTGCCCCAAAGAAGAGGGAGTCAAGCTATTCTCCAAAGTGCCTGAAGGCAGGACAAGAAGCAACGGATGGAAACTAATTAAGGAGAGAAGCAACCTAGGACTAAGGAGAAACTTCCTGACAGTTAGAACAATTAACCAGTGGAACAACCTGCCTCCAGAAGCGGTGAATGCTCCAACACTGGAAGTTTTTAAGAAGAGACTGGACAGCCATTTGTCCGAAATGGTATATGGTTTCCTGCCTGAGCAGGGGGTTGGACTAGATGACCTCCAAGGTCCCTTCCAACTTTATTATCTCTCCTTGATTATTTCCATCCGTTGCTTCTTGTCCTGCCTTCAGGCGCTTTGGAGAATAGCTTGACTCCCTCTTCTTTGTGGCAGCCCCTACTCGGAATTCATACCCGTTCATACTTGAACCATTTGAAGGGTGTTTGTCCCAAAGTGCATAGCTAAATGTCTTATAGTGTGTCTCCTACATTACAAGATACTGGACCAGGGGTAGGCAACCTTGGCTCTTTTATGACTCGTGGACTTCAACTCCCAGAATTCCTGAGCCAGCCATGCTGAGGGGAAAGGGAGAGGTTTCCAAGCTGAGCCATGCTGGCTCAGGAATTCTGGGAGTTGAAGTCCACGAGTCATAAAGGGGCCATAGTTCCCTCATGCTGGCTCAGGAATTCTGGGAGTTGAAGTCCACGAGTCATAAAAGAGCCAAGGTTGCCTACCCCTGTCCTAGTGTAACACCATTATTTACTGAACCCCTCCAGTCTTCTCCATTTCTATCCAATGGTCCTTCTCCCCCAGAAAGCCAGTGAAAGGGAAGGGAAAAAAATGACTTTCCAGCCTCTTATTAAAGCCCCATCTCGGTTATGAATAAAGTTGTATGCCAAGGGGTCTTCAAACCTGGCCCTTTTATGATTTGTGGACTTCAACTCGTGCCTGGCTGAGGAATTCTGGGAGTTGAAGTCCACAAGTCATAAAAGGGCCACGTTTGAAGACCCCTGTTGTATGCAAACCAGTGGTTCTTTATGAACCGCTATTGTTTGAAGCTGCTAAAAAAAAGTGATTGTTTAAGGTAGGTTAGTGGCACTATGTCTGAACTATTTCAGCTGTGACTTAGAGTTGACAAGCCAACGTTCTGTTGTTTTCTTTTACAAATGATTTATATTTTATTTATGGCTACCTGCCTATTGATCTGCCCGTCTTTTCCCATAATTAGAATCAAAGAATCGAGATCTTAAGAGATCCTTAGTCCCAATCCCGTGCCAGCGCAGGGATCTTCCGAACCCTCCGTGGCAGGTAGCCAACCAACGTCTAGTCCTCCGATTCAATGGGCGAATATTATAGACCAAGAAGTGTCTAGTTTCAAAGATTTAATTGCGGGCTTGATCAATTTAAAACAAATAGAAGGGTTTGGTTGTAGACCAGAGTTTCTCAAATCTTGGCAACTTTAAGATATATGGATTTCGGCTCCCAGAATCTCCCAAACAGCAAGCTATTGTAGACAGTAGGTTTTATGGCACGTTCTAAGTGAAAGTTGTAAGCATATAAGTTTAGGCATGAGTTGATTTCTTTGGCAGAACGTGACTGTAGCATCATGGGGCAACTTCCTAGCAGTTCACAAAGTAATAAACTGAACCAGGCTCAAATGAAAGGTGTCGATTAAATTTATCATGCTGTTATTTCTGTCAGTCCAGATAATGGACATTTCATCAATCAGGCGGAGAGAAGTTGAACTCTGATGCCATCCTCCACCCTACCCCGCACGAATAGAGTTTAGCTTTTTCCCCCGACTCTTTTGTTCAAATATTATTTGTCCTGATTTAGCAGAATGGTTGGAACAGTTTTCCAGTGTTCTTTCTGTGTGTCTGCCCTTCCTATTCCTCTTTCTTGCCTTATTTTGCCTAGATCAAAAATAATTTGTTTATTATCGTGCACAGGTGATAGGATCTAGCATCAGTTTGGTCAGGTTTATGCATGAGAATGATGTGGAAATAATTTGGAAGCAAATGAGCCAAGTATAATGTCAGTCGTCCAGTCGCTGAATTGAGACTGCCTTATTATACTAAGGAGCTTTTTGACACACCGTTTCCCCCAAATACTATTAAAGTAGTTTAGAGGGAACTTCTTCCCTCCCTCCCTCTTATAATCAACTCTGGCAGTTCCCAATCAATTAAATAATCCTGTATTAAAACTTACGATACGTAAAAAGGTTTGCATTGGTTCTTTAGTGTTATATACATCCATAACGAAATTCCAGAGTGAGATGAGCTGTTATAGTTTAAATTTCAAAATGTCTTATTCTGGTTACACTTCAGAAAGGGATGACAGATGTTTAAGTTTTTAACGGTTCTTTTTGGCTCACCTGCTTTTCAGAAAGCCAAGCGGGAGTCAAAGGTGCGCTCCTGTAACAACAGATAAACACAAATATTATACAGATAAACTATTCGTTCCAACTAACGGGCTGCCCTCTTGATCTTGTGCTGGCTTGTGTTCGCTGCTTGCAGATGTTCTGACAACTTTTGTTCTCTCTCCCTTTTTGTTTTCTGCTTCTTGATAAAGGAGTCAGTCACGGTCAACACAAAGTAAAGAGAGCCAGACCTTTTGTTCCTTTTGTCTTGTGTTCACATGAATCACCGGCTATGGGTATTGCCTTGCTCTTTCCTTAGGTTGCCTGATTAGTTCAACAGCTGTGCATTAATAACCACGTTCCCTCGAGGCTACAGTAAAAATTGTAAATAAAATTCTAAGAAGCTAAAAAAATTAGGCTGTGGAAATTTTGAATCTGCCTGCCTGCCACCTTGTTCAGTTTGGGGTTTTTTTTTGTTCCCAATTGTTCACTTGAGTCCTAGGAAATATTTCCAATTACTACTGCAAAGGTGGAACTTGGGCAGTGCTGCTCTGCAAATCTATGGAATAATTACTGTGAAGGAAACCCTCC